TATATATGTATATATATATGTATATATATATGTATATATATATGTATATATATGTATGTATATATGTATATATATATATATATATATATATATATAAAATCGATACCGTTCTCAAAACGTAAAAAAACAAGACTCCGGGAAGTTAGTGCCCCCAACCCAAGAAATGTAGTCAATACTCCTGACAGCCATGCATCCCTACAAGCGAATGTTAGAATCATTTATCTTCACACCTGATCAAAACGATGGATAATCCTGCAAAATGTAGCCCCAGGTTGCAGAAATGAAAGCACAGAACTGCAACAGAGTTTCAAATATCAAATTGTGCTTTTGTCAAGAGATGAGCGTATATTAGACTTGACCTTAACATTCATTAGGAGCATCTAGTATGTCAACTCTCAAAGCTTATGGAGAAATGTCTCTAGTAGCTGTTTATGTATAAAAGGTATCAAAACTCAACTGCATTTTCAGAAAACGGCTGTCGGTGAGCCGAGTTAAGAGAAAGTTTGCAAACCAGCGTGTTCATTTAGGTTTGAGACAGAAATAAGTAACAACAGTGGATAAAGTCTATAAAGCTTCTCAAAGAGGAATTTTGTGGGTTTGTTTAACAGGAACACACCTGATCCACTTCACGAGAGCCACGGTGAAGGTTACAGCAAGCCCGAGATCGAGGCTCACTCCGCGGTGTTTGTTCGCAGCCGTCATTATGGCACAAGGTCAGTCTCTCTCTCTCTCTCTCTCTCTCGCTTTCCCCTCCCCTGGTTGTCTTCACCGGAGGGGACTGACCTGCAGGATCATAGAGAACACAGAACTGTGGCTCCACAAAAATCCCCAGTGTAATAATCAAAACGGTACCGTGAGGAAATGAAAGTGCATTATCTGCACTTCTTCAGGGTTTTCTTCTGGCATTTTCAGTCGTTAATTTAACATTTCTTTCTGTTTGTTTGCTTGTATCCCGCGTCCCTGCCCATCTAGGACCAATACAATTATCCTGATAGACGCAGAAGGTAATGTGAGCTTCACAGAGCGCACCATGCTCGACTGTGACCAGAGCAAATGGAGCACCAGTTCTTTCCAGTTCAAACTGCAGGTGTGAAGAAATGATGGAGGAAACCCACTCTGTGCCTTTCTCCGTCACCTTTCCTTCCGTCACCTCCCACCTTCTTCCTCCTTCCTCAAGCTGCACCAGAGCAGCCATGTGAAAATGAAGCTTTGTCTGCACTTTTTAGTTGATACTAGCTGCCTCATTAACATCAGTGAAATGCATCTTTTGAAAATGTGTGCTAATTTAAGATTGCCAAAGAACGGATAACATTTTGTAAAGGAAAATATTTTACCTCCACACAAAGCAGCCGGGTTGGTTTGCTTCAAAATGTCTAATGCATAACGGATTACTGGTAACCTGCTTTGAAATGCAATCAATACCATATAAAAGATTATTTATTATTAAATATACACTTGACGCACAATTTCTGGACTAGAATTTGAAGTTATTTTCTGTTTTACGCTATATAAAATCATTGGGTCATCAGTATATTTCTAGAGAATGTATAATCTGATTTAAATTTGCAGTAATTTTAATAGTTCAGAGTTGTCATTACTTTTTAAATGTTGGATTACTGTAACCCTGTTGCAGGTAATTAGTTCTGCCCTAACACTGCACAAGAGTAGCCTCAGTGTTGGTTACAAGACATGTTTAATGCAAACTGTTTCAGGCAAGGGATCTCTGACCACTTCCATGGTTAAAAAAAAAAGAACAAAAAGAATAATGCATTTTACAGCTGTTTGATTAAAAAAAAAAAAAAAGTATCAAAACACTCACACTTGTCTTTCCATTCATTAATTGTTCATTGACAACTGGTTCTTCCTCTTACTGTTTGTATATTATTTCTACTTCCTGTGTTTCTGCCATGTATCCACATGTTACTCATACAGGTGTTGGGATGCTATTTCAAAGGGGAAATAAGTCTCACTTACTAACCTGCAGAAAGTTGTTAAGTGGTTTAGGAACTAAAACTGGGCTACTACACATTGTTACTGATCTACTACTGTTGGTAAACAGTGACCCCAACTGGCAAATTGAGATATTGCAATGCACATAATCCTTATGTAGTCTGCCCCTCAACACTTTTAGGATATGACATACTATAAAGTACAAAAACATCTATAACTAGTAGCTAGTAAATGCTGTTTGGTTGAATTCTTGGAAGGCTCTGGTTGAATCCTGAACTGTTTAATGGGTCGTTTCTTCTCCGTTCAATCCAAATGACCATTTTTAATATGAGTAACATCACATATATGTTTTGAAAGAGAGAGGCTCGTGGCTCCAAGTCTGTACTAACTGACAGACTCAGGGTAAGTATGGCTAAAAATATCAGAATCAGCACTTAAAAAAACAACAAGCAAAAAAAGCATGTAAAATTTGTGTAATTGCAAAATGAAAGCTCTTCTAGTCATTATACGCTCCCCTAATTTCGTGGATCTAATTTGTGCTCGCCGACATTGAAATTGATAGATCTAAATACGTATGTCTTGTCTCCTTATTCAATATTGTAAATCGATGCATTTAATGACCACTAATGAGCACAAATCGCAATCCTATCTTTCTGTTTAACGCCGATTTCTACCAATATCTACGCATGCAAATTGCCCGCCAGCATTTTAAACTTCCGTTGACGCGACTCTGTCTTTATACGACTCTGGTTGACTCATACAAGTGGCTGTCGACAAAACGACGTTGTGATTGGCCCGCTGATCGATCATTTACAAAACGCCGGTACTGGGAGGCGGGACTTGAGTTGGTTTGCCGCTGTGGTTTTCTTCAAGATGGCGGGGCTGCAGTTGAGGCAGTATGGCGCCGCGTTTAGAATATAACAATTTAGAAAGGTAGCCTTGTGTCCAATAGAAGACAGTCGTGTCATATTTATCGGTGAGTATTTCTGCAATAAACTGTTGTCTGACTAGCTTAACAGTTTTGCAGCCGCGTAGATCTGTAACGTTACCGCCTTACGATTGCTTGCTAGCTGTTAGCATAGATGTTAACGTTACCAGCGGCCCGATGTACAGCTGTAGACTGAACAGATGCGCTAAAACGAGGTCCCTCACTATTTTATTTTAGGATTAATTTGCTTTCAGATTTGTACTTGGATAAACATGAGTCATATTCCTAAGCAAAATGAACCATTGTGTCACGTTGAAGTCATTTTACTCCAGTTTCTTAGTAGTAACGTAGTTAGTAGCCTGTGTTAAATATCTTAAGCATTATTCCAATACCGTTAGTCCTAAAATTGACCTAACTCAACTGACATCTAAAGTTACTCTCACCGGTCTTTTTTTCTAGCTTCCAGAAGATACCAGTGGAGGATGATCAGTGCCTAGATCCCATATTAAGCTGAATGCATTGTGATTTCCAATAATTGAGACAGTGATTCTGAAAGCTGTCTACATTAATGAAAAGAACAATGTAGTCAGCTTAGCATTTTCACCTCTGGTACGTGGTCTTGACAGGGATGTGCTTCTGCATGCATTCTGGCTTTAGATAAGCAGAGTCTCTGAACAGGTCAGATTTTTAGAATACATCAGTTTGTGTAAATCGTAGTCTATTTAGAAAGAGGAAATGGAGATAGATGATGTGCTACCCCCTCTCCCCTTGGAGCCACCTGATGATTTTAGCCAAGATGAGGGCAGAGCACCTCCACCACCTCCCCTGCAAACGTCCAGTGACGCAGAGGTAATGGACGTTAGCTCTGGTGGTGATGGATACACATACACCCCAGGGGACGGGGAAGCCGAGCCACAGCAGCCCCTCAGCACGGGCTCTATAACTTTCTATAACCACCTCTCAGATGAGGCTAATCCCAACACAACGTGCCCCAGAACAGCCCGCCACGCTCCCCCGGTCACCGGGTTCCTACCAAACCTCAAGCTGCTCAGAGATGTTAAGATCCGTGTAAGCTTCACCGAAAGCAGCAGCAGCAGCAGCAGCAGCAATAGCAAAGACCGGAAGGTTCTGTACACGGGCGAAGGGCAGGAGCGAGGAAGTGATGATGGCTTAGACAACATTAATGGTGAGTTGCATGACTCCACTAGTGAGCAGGAAGCAAGTGAGGGATGCTTCGGGGAAGGGAACATAGCGGACAGAACAGCAGAGGAGGCAGATGTAGACATGGAGAGTAAGGTAGAGTTTGCTGTCCTGGATGAGTTGGATGACCTCTACGAGAACTTCCTGGATAATGACGACGCAGAGCATGGTGGCTTTAAGTCTGAGGTCATAGCTCAGCAGGAGCAAGGGGATGAGGAGGCCGTGGCTTTCTCCTATGAGGTACGTCTGTTCTTACGTCTGCAGTAACCTTTGTCATTATCAGCTACACACCCATTTTCTCCTGAACTGTCAAACCGAAATAACGTAGGCCTACTACAGCCCATGCAGTACAGACCACTACTATGGCAAAACGGACACAGCAACAACAAAAACAAGGTTGTTCAGTAAAAAGAAAAGCAATGCAACATACAGAGTGGGCCAGTCATATATGCAGGTGCTTATTCTCCGTAGAATAACATGTAACGTTAATAGTGTTATTTTGCTGCTTACCTCTAAATGTCACATAATTGGATAGAGGAAATTACAGCTGCCATAATAACTTTCTCATTATAGCTTTCTCATAATATTAACTGACGTCAAAATATAAATCGCCTGTAGCCATACAGATACTTTTTAGTTTTATTTGGTGTTATTTATACCTCTACCTCAATACAACACAGCTGAATGGCATTGGATTTGTGGCCTTCAAAGCATAAAAAGTAAATTTGTAAGAACTCAACAGCCACTAAACTTTCCAGAAACAACGTCCTGGTAACTGTCGATGATTTAAATAACCACCAGATGCTCAGGGCTTACATTGAGAAATATATCTCATCCTCATATAGTTCCAAATATTACATGCAAAACATTTGGTGCTAGTAGTAGGACAGTTGGTAGGCTTCTCCTTTGCAATACTGTGGTAGATGGAGGCTCAGGCTGGGTTGTATGTTTATAGGTAAGCTAATGGCTACAGGAAGAAAGAGTACAAACAGGGCAACTGTGAAGTGGAAGAGGACATTGGGGATCATGTCGTGTAGATTAGGTTGTAATGATTTCTTGGTTTAATATTGCAACACGTCAGATCTTTTTCTGCACCAGTAGACATGAGTGGTTACGTCAGCGTCAAATTAAGCAGCAGACATTTAGAGAAATGTTTGTTTTTTTTGTTTATTGTTTTGCTTTTTATTACTGAAAATGACAAGTGGGGTGCTGGAAGAGGTTAGTGCCATTTTTTAATGTCTCCCATTAAATGCTGGCTTTCCTGTTGATGCAATACTAATAAAAACGATAGATCAAAGCTGCTAAATGTTTGTAATTTAATTTGCAGTAGACGTTTGATATATATAGGTTCAATATAATCTGTTTCTACATTCAGAAGTATTTTACTTTTATGCCTCAAAATGTCACAGATGAGTTTGTCTTTATTGTGGTAGAGTGCCGCACGTTTTTTGTTATTTTCTCTCAACTGTTCACTTTATGGCGTCGCATCAGACGAAGCCCATCCTTCTCTCCCGGCTTTAACCACTGACTCTTCCAGGAGGAGTTTGACAATGATGTCGATGCTCTGCTGGAGGAGGGCATGCCGGTCCCAAAAAAGATGCGTCCGTCGGAGGACAAATATGGCGGTGACAGCGATCACCCGTCGGATGGTGAAGGAGGTGTTCAGCCCATGATGACCAAAATTAAGACTGTCTTGAAGAGTGAGTGGTGGATCGGTCTGTTTTAGGGCCGAGTACTAACTAGGAACTGTGAACTGTGGTTTTAGTACTATGGGCTACAATGCAACATAATATTTTAACAGGATATGCTACACACGTGTCGCATCTGTTACAAGTGAATAGTATTGTGTTTATAATTTTTACTATTGTTACACAACAGTGTGCATTGCTGCTGTAGATTACAATACAGGGTTTATGCAGTAAATTGGTGAACAATAGTGGTAAGAACTGCACAACTATAATGGACATCTAAGTAACCTTCCTCTGTGTGTTGTAGTGCTCTGACATAGTATCACAATCAAACGGCACACGCTGATGGGCAACTTCACACACGCTCACTGGTGTTGGTCAGGTGGGGAGATGTAAAACTCTACATGCAAGGACTCCCTAAACTAATCAGGTTTGAAATCCTAAAATAAATGAATAAACTCGACTGAATAAACTTGTAAAGTATGACATTTTAAAGAACTATTTTTCCAAATTGAAATTTTCTTTCTTCTTCAAACAAGCTCTTGTTCAAAACTCTGTAGATCAGTGATCAGATAATTGTTTACAGTGTGTGTGACCTGACCTACAACATGCATCCCTTAGAGTACTGTTTTAAATATAACAACAAGGGGTAACATGTCTTACATGACAAGTTTCATAAGAATGCAGACTCACTCTGTTCTTTGCTGTTCACTCCAGCCTGGAACTTTTTCTGACTGCTACATGACCGTGCAGAATGTAACACGTTACTACCTTTCTAAAAGGCTGGTGTCCTTGTGTTCTGCTACATTACTATTCAGATTTATCAGGTTGACACAACAGGTATGACTCTTCACTGGCCTCACAATCCAACTGTCAACGAATTTAAACAATTCTCGATGCAATTCTCAATACATTGCGTCCTCCGTCTATAATATAAACAGCTGCATCTTTTCAATACCAGTGCACCAGTGCATAGACATTACTACAACAAAAAACATAAATCCTTCTGCAGTACTTTACAAATGTGCTGTAATCTACCACAATACGGTTTTCATATAGTCCTACTTGGTGTGTGTGTTTTGAATGAGTACTTATTGGATTGTCTAATGTTGATATTCAAAACATTAAGTAACATTTTCCTTGCATGTCTGTTCCTAATACTCAACACTAAACCCAATTTTAGATTAAAACTATTTTTAACATTAATTCCAAGCCTGAAGACCTCTTGATTGATTGTCACACAATTATGAGTTTTGCGGTAATGCATAAAGGTTTCCCACAAAAGGAATAGTGTAGTAATTAGTGGCTGCATTAACGTCCCCCTCCCCCCTGTTCCAGGTCGTGGGCGTCCCCCCACTGAGCCTCTACCAGATGGATGGATCATGACATTCCATAACTCGGGTATTCCCGTCTACCTGCACAGAGAGACCAGGGTGGTTACCTGGTCCAGGCCCTACTTCCTTGGGACTGGCAGTATTAGGGTAAGATGCAACACAAAGTGTCACGTCTAATTAACTTGCCACACCGATGTGAACAGTGTATCCAGTTTTTTTGCAGGGGTTTTGATCTCATTAGTTTGGGGGGGGGGTAACCTCAGTGTCAGTACTCTAAACCAGTTTGTGGTGCTGGTCAGTGTTCAGCCGCTGCCTCATAGTATCAGTTCTTAAAAATACGGTTAACATGTTGTTACGAACCTCGTTCTTCTTTCCTGACACAGAAACATGACCCTCCTACCAGCAGCATCCCTTGCCTACACTACAGGAAAATGAAGAATCGGGAGGAGAAGGAGCTCAATGGGGACGTGACGCCCAATGCAGACGTCACATCCACATTGACGCCCAATGTGGACGTGACGCCCAATGCGGAGGAGTCTCCTGTCAAGCCCAGCGAGGAGGCCAACGGTGAAGAGACGGCAGACAAGGCAGATGCTGCAGCTGAGGAGCAGGACATCGTCCCTCCTGCCATTGTGACTGACGGTGAGCCAAATGGAGAGGATGCAACCAATAACAGCCTGCAGAGTAAAAGGTCCCGCCTCTGTGACTTTGCCCACGGAGCCTTAGGACAAGTCAGGGCCAAGGTGGAGGTGTGCAAGGACGAGTCCATAGGTAAGGGCTTCTCGGAGTACTTGTTCAGTGGTGCACTTCTAAAAAGGTAGTTGTTGTGTTTCTGCTGGCTGCGTTTCATTGAGTGATATAACTTTTATAAAAAAACCTCCTCGCAGAAATTGAAGAGTTCCGCCTGTACCTGGAAAAATGCTTTGACTTTGAACAAGTCACGGTGAAGAAGTTTCGTACCTGGGCTGAGCGGCGGCAGTTCAACAGAGACATGAAGAGGAAGCAGGCAGAGACGGAGAGACCGATCCTGCCTGCGAACCAGAAACTCATCACGCTGTCGGTCCAAGATGCTCCCACTAAGAAAGGTAGCGGTGATATAGATTCATGTTCGTGTTCTTGAAGAGGAAGGCAGGTGTTATTTTCATTGTCAGTAACCAATGAAACCATACAAAACAACAATATCCTTTTAGTTATTGCCTGATGTAGTTTATGAATCTCTACCATAAAACAAAAAGCTATTAAAAACATCTGTTGTATGTTTGCATTGTGATGAACCTGACCAGTGGTCGTCACTCTGCAGCAGTGTAGTTCAAATACAAACAAACTTGCTTACTTACAACTTAAGATCTTTAACGAAACAGTTTTTAAAAAGCCTTTATGTCTTATATGTGTTATTTGTATGACATATCTATACTATCAAAGCTGTCCATTCAAAGTGTGTTTGTTGATGTTTTTCCATTTTTCTGTTGTAACAGAATTTGTCATCAACCCTAACGGGAAGTCAGAAGTTTGCATCTTGCATGAATATATGCAACGTGTCCTGAAGGTTCGACCTGTTTACAACTTTTTTGAATGTGGTAAGTTCTTCTTTGAATTGAGGTATATAAAGTCTTATGTCACTCTTGCCTTATCAGCAATAAATTGTTGAAGAATAAAAAAGTTGGCATGTTGGAACTGGTATTTATTGGGATGTGTGAATCTGCTCATTTAGTTGTCATCTACAACCAAGGACACACATTTCCATCACCCTCTCTGTAGTCACAGAAATGTCCACACACATTTATTGCTATACATAAAACATGTGTTGTTGACCATTTACAAGATATCAAATCTAACTGACTTTGTGTGCCCCATAGAGAACCCAAGTGAGCCCTTTGGAGCGTCGGTCATTATAGATGGAGTAACGTACGGCACGGGAACCGCAAGCAGTAAAAAACTTGCCAAGAATAAAGCTGGTAAGTTCTTTTATTTCCAGTACTTAGCCTTCTGATCGAGTACTACTGCGGATCGTTGTGCATATTTTATTAGTTATTAAATGGGTTTAAGGGCTTCCCATAAAGAACTTGGTTGTGGTAATAATCAAACTGTATTTCGTACATCATGTTAGAGGTAGATGACACTGACTGGAATATATGTGATTTATAGTTTTAATCAGCTGACTCATACGAAATGCTTACTGTTACCTGTTGTGGCCTGACAAGTACCACAAGAATACTTGTAAGTGGAAGACTGTTAAGAATATATCGTCTTGGAAGTCTGTTGTTCCCACCGACTTCATTTCCCACCGACTTCATTTCCCATTACTATTATAGATATATTCTTATTATATATACGATGGATAGTTGCACAGGTAAATCAACATGTTGCACGATGTAAAACTACTTTTGCTCTCACTGGTAATTTTGGGTGAACTTCAGCTCGAGCCACACTGGAAATCCTCATCCCTGACTTTGTGAAGCAGACCTCGGAGGAGAAGCCTGTTGAGGGCGATGAACTGGAGGTAGTCTCCCCCCCCCCCCGCCTTATTGTCAACATTTATGTGGAACAGCGTGAGCTCATTGAAAATAATTGTTGTCAAAGGTAGAATATGTAACACTCTGTGTACTCTGCTCCGCAGTATTTTAATCATATCAATATAGAAGACTCGAGGGTGTATGAGCTGACCAACAAAGCAGGACTACTTTCGCCATATCAGATTCTTCATGAGTGCCTTAAAAGGTAAGAGCTAAAGCACAACACCACCAATTAATTAATATTCTAAATATCGCGTACACTACAAGGTGTTGGGTGCTGCCCCCGTACACAGTACATTGCTTTGCTCGCGTACTGGTACTCCGGTCTGTTAACTGGGGAATGCACAGTACCTCATACAACCCCACTTAAAGAGCAGCAAAACCACCCTTTAATAACCTGTTCTGTCACAGCCCTGCCGGGTTGCAGATGTATTTATAATGTGGTGTTGTGTCTTTCATTTAGAAACCATGGGATGGGAGACACGAGCGTCAAGTTTGAGGTGATCCCGGGGAAAAACCAGAAGAGTGAATATGTGATGACATGTGGGAAGCACACCGTGCGAGGCTGGTGTAAGTAGACCCTGATCCTCATCTCCCCACATGGAGAGTCTGTTTTGTGTGACCTTGTGGAGCGAACATGCACGTAGCTTTCAGTGACATGTTTTGCACATGTGCCACCAGGCAAGAACAAAAGAGTTGGCAAACAACTGGCCTCTCAGAAGATCCTGCAGATGCTTCATCCTCACGTGAAGAACTGGGGCTCACTGCTGCGCATGTACGGCAGAGAGAGCAATAAGCTGGTCAAGAAGGTACGTACTTAAACGCTAACTGTAGGGCTGTGCTCATGGAAGACTTTGGAATAGAAATGTTAGTATTTTCTAAATCTTTCTGTTTGATGTTGAGCTCTATTTACAGTAAATATGTAAAGTATCTTAACAGGATAAGATATCTTAAATCTCTTCAATAGAAATTATAAATCAACCCTTACTGACATCTTAAAGATTGCCACTTTAAATATGGAATAATCAAGACTATTTCTGTTGTACCTGCCATTGGCTTGTTAACTTCAATAAGTGAAATATGAATTATGGTGATTATGATATCCTGGTAATGAAGATGGCACATCTCGATGACGTTTATAACGACCGATCTTTTGCAGGAGAGCGCCGACAAGAGTGTGATCGAGCTCCAGCAGTATGCCAAAAAGAACAAGCCAAACCTCCATATCTTGAACAAACTGCAAGAAGAAATGAGGAAACTAGCCAAGCAGAGGGTGAGAATTGTTCCTTTTTATGTAATATGAAGAGAGAAAGAAATGTAATTTTGATTCTGCCCAGTGTTAAACATACATCTCGTCTTTCACAACTCTCATCTCATCATTGTTGTTAACAATACAATTATGGATCTGATTGTTCCAGTGAGCTGTGACTGTGAGCCCACCTTCACAAAAGCAGGACCCTGAAACTGAAGCAAAGTTGATTAAGTTTAGGACTGTCTATTTTTACAGTAGTTCATCCTCTCTTCCCTCGACAAGGATTACTTGTTGTACATCGGACATCTTGTCACCAGAGGAGAGCTCATTGAAGGGAAAAACAAGGTTGTAGTTCTGATTCAGATAACGGTAAATCTGCAGGGTCTCAATTAGTCCTCTTTATTGCCGTCTTTACGAGCATAGTTGTCGGTCTCCGGTCGTCAAAATTACATTGCCACTGCCTAGATTTGTATATTCTAGAATTGAGAATGGATTGAGCGTACTTTATTTGTCACATTTTGCGCCATTTTCACAATGTACTCCTCACAATATGGTAACTTTATTGTATTTCTGTACCAGGAGGAAACGAGGAAGAAACCCAAGATGACCATAATGGAGTCTGCCCAGCCTGGGAGTGAACCCCTCTGCACTGTCGACGTTTGAGTCTGGAAGTCGCTGATGAACCACGGCACTGAAACCCAGTCACTGTCAGACATCACACCCCCACCATCCAACCCCTTAATTATGCGTCACTGATGTCTAACGGCGATGCCGTTCCACTTTGACCCGGCCGGTAGAACTGCTTGCATCCTTCGCCTGTGTTTTATTGGTTCAGCTGGTAAAAGTAAGGGGAGGTGTAAATGCACGAACACACATTAGAGCAAATATCGTCTACCTCTCTAGATGCAGCCTCGCGATGGCAGTTAGGGGGGGAGAGAAACGCACCCGGGCTGCAGAGAAGGTAACACATGAACCACATCAAAATAGAAATGCATGCTTCTTTTGACCGAAAAAACCACTACACACCTTTTTGTTTTGTTTGGAAGTGTTGTTTTTAACAGTCACAGAGTACCAGCACCTATTAGTTTAGTTTTGTGCTTCAAGTATTCGAAAGGGACTACTAGTACTTGTGTATTTATACCATTCATTTTATTAGGAAACGGCGTTACTTGTTTATTGGTCGGTGTTCCCCCCTCTCAGAATGGACAGCTGCTGTCTTGGTTTGCACGATTTTAAAACATGCGTTGTGAAGTGATGACTATTGAGAAATATTGTTATGCACTTGTGTCCTGTCAAATATTTGTGTTGACTGATCATGCTGTTGGTACAGGAATAACTGCATCGGGGATATTTGAGGTACTTGTTGCCTTTATTTTATTTTTTCCTCCCCCTCGTTGCATTGACAATACTAGAAAGACGTCCAACACTGCAGTAAACCCAAGCACAGAGTACTATAATATGTTCATTTCTTTAAAGCTCTTAGTTCTTGCTCGCTTTCTATTAAAGTACTAACGCCAAGCACACCAACTAACCAGTCGGTACATTTCAGTCGCTTGTTTAGTTGCGGTGCCCTGAAGAGATCATGTTGATGACGTGTTGCCTTAGTTAATCCATTTCATGAAGGGCTCAGAGTATAGTGCATTACATTGGACCTAAACCACCCTTCAACAGGAAGTGGAAAGACCAAGCCCCCTTTACCTGATCAAGCATTTATTGTTTAGCCAATTAGAAATTGACTGCAGACGGCCTCTGAAACATCAGATACTCGAGGGAAAAATGCCTCAAGCATGTGCAGATTTTTAAGACTCGTCTTAATGGATTGTGTGTTTGCCATCGTTGTTACAGTATTTTCTGACCACAAGTAGAATGCATTTTTACAAAAGGCAGCCTTTTTAAAATGTACTTGGTACACTGACGTGAACAAACTGCGGTGAAGTCATTTAGTCCAACAGAAGCTGATGAACGTGTGTGTATACCAAAGCTCACATACAGTCTTATGCATTTTATAGTTAATGTTGCTGCAAACTGTACAGTAGAAACATCTATATCACAGGAAAATACATAGACCCATACTTGCTGGAACAAAATAGAAACTGCTGTGCATCTTTTGTCAAGTATTTGGCCTATGTTTTTTTTCTATGAAATATTCAAGGACGTCAGTTTAACCACGAGGCTTGTTGTGATATTGTGAATCGCTTTCAGAATGTGCTTTCCCCTCCATGCGTTTGTCTTGCCAGGTGTGTCAGTGTGAGAAGAAAATACTGCTTTTCCAGGTGTTTCTGTTGAGTTGTACCAATGAATTGTTTGAGATGTTGCTGCCTAGAAAATGAAGTATGTATTGCAACCTGAGCTCCATGACTTTAGCGATATGTTATGCAAATAAAATGTCTTGACTAATGATTAGGAAGGCTGTTTTTATTCAGTTCCAGAATGATGAAACAAGAAGTTCAACTGAGGTGGCACTTTAATACTTTGAGCTATTTATTCCGTAGTACCCACTGCTCCAGCTTTACACTTCAACAGTCGGAACAAGGTATCGAGCTTCAGGAGGTGAAGGCTAAAATTTTATTCAAGATAGCATCTAACAAAAGTTCTCAAACTAAAAAAAAGCATAACGGGCCAAAGCATACTATATTAACAGCAACTTTATTTGAAGCATGAATTAATATTTCATTACAAAAGAGGACTGGATAGAATGAACTGACTCTTTAAAATTAAGACTAAGACCTTGCAGTTTACTTCAACAGGAAAAAAAACACGTAACAAATTTCAAAGAAGTGAGTGCATACATTTCTAGTATGGAAAGCCCATGCTACCTATCAAAGGACAGGGCCTGTTTTTAAAAGGCAAGACCCTCTGAGCATCCCAAAACCCATACAATACTATTCAGTGAGCCAGGTATTTTCTAATACATTATCAATTTCAATGTGCCAAAAATACCAGGATGTCCAACTGGACATCCCCATTTAGCAGTTTGCAAGCCAGAATGCAATGTTATGACAATTCCGAATCACATCCTTACTAATATCCGGCCGGATGCAGTAGGACATCCTGATATTTCTGACATACTAAATCTTTTTGTGGCACGCTAAACAGTATGGTAGTGTGGGTATTAGATGGCACAGAATGTCTCCCCCTTATTGCTTGCTGGTCTTCTGGGAGTCGTAGTCCACTCTCTCCAGCAGCAAAAGCATCTCGACGTGCATGGTCTGAGGGAACAGATCCACGGCCATGGCTCGCACCGGTCGAAATGGAGCCCCATGAACTCGCTTGGATGGTGCTCTGCACAGACTAACAGACAGAAAGATCTAACGTAAGATTCACCATTTCATAGAATTGGCCACCTTTCAAAATATATCTGATATGACAGTGGAAATAGTTATTCAGGCTTTAGTTTTCAATCTCACAAAAATTTAATTCATCGTTTCTGCTGCTTAAAAACCGCCAAATTAAAACACACATGGACTCACTCAATGAAGTTGTTCATGGCAGCCTTAGCATTGCATGCTACATAAACCAGCCTCTTCAGATGCTCTGCCCTCCTGATGGCAAGTATAACCTTGGAATCTGTTTGATAAAGACAAAATAAACTTAAATATGTGACAAATCCTGAGGTGAGTAACGTTCATTTTTCACGGTTTGGGCCGTTTACTCACGTAGGCCGGCCCTCGGCGGATCCACAATGGCTGTGAGGTTGGGCGACACGAGAGCATTGAGGATGTTGGGGAACACGTCCTCGGCTTTTCCACAGTGAAACTCCACATTACTCAGACCTTCAAATACAAACAAAGGAAAAACTAGAATTACTGCCTCCGCCAACCAGTCAAACACTTTCTCATTTCTACAATAAGTTTGGGGGCAAAAAGGACTTAAACTTTATTAATCCCGAGGGAAACTGTTGAATGAACATCTATTGGTTGAATTACCAACCGTCCTGCATTTATGAATATTCACACTCCATACATAAAATCACTGGAGGTCATTTGATGTTATCTGGTCTCTTACCATTGACCTTTGCATTAACCTTGGCATCCTCCACAGCCTCCTGGCACATTTCGATTCCGATCACCTTCTTCACCCTCTAAAGACAAAAGAGAACAAAGATGTCAAAACCTGCCAGAACACAGAAAGAATAGAACATTTCAAAAGTGTTTTGTGTGCGAACATTGTTATATCTCTTTGCCAATAATTGTACGAACCCTAATAAAGGCGTTTAAAAAAAGACCCCAAAAAAAAGGTATACACGGAAAGGATGAGATGCGAAAGACTGTTAGTGTCTATTACTAACTCCTGTCAGTTGTCATTATCAACACATAGTCACAGGTGAATTACGTTTGTGTTACAGACAACTATGTCACCTTAGCCAGAGAGAGGCCGATAGTTCCCGTCCCACAGCACACATCCAGCACGGTGCTGTCCTGGTCCAGCTGGGCCCATTCTCCCACAGCAGAGTACAGCACCTCAGCAGCTCCTGTATTCACCTGCCAGGTAACACAAGACCCATTTCACAGCTGGAACCATAATGCATCTGTGCGTTGTAAAACACAAAAGGACTTTTCTCTGAGGTACATCTGTCTTACTTGGAAGAAGGAATGAGGAGATATTCTAAACTTGAGACCCAGGAGTTCCTCATGAATGCTGGCCTCTCCAGCCACCAGCTCACAGGGCAAGTCCTCTAGGTTAGGCGAAGTCCTGGTAAGCCAAAAAAAAACACTCATTTAGTGCAGTACTTGGATATTTTCATAGTCTACGCTCCACTGTTTGTCCTGCATCTTGACTAATTGAGCATCAGGATTTCTTTTCTTACCGTTGACCCTCTCTGACAAAGTAAAGAGAGGTTACTCCGCTGTCTTTCCCCTCTCCTTCTGTAAAGTACGTCTTCATGGAGCTCTTTAATGCTTTGATTTCGTCTTCTTGGAGTTTCTAAAGGAGCGATTAAAACAAGTAAGAGACATCAAAAAGAAGAACTCTAACCGTGCGACTCTATTATCAGCAAACAGGATCGTACCGCGTTCGTAAAGAGAACGCGTCCTCCTCCTCACCTGCGGGTGGAAGAACGCGACAGCCATGGCTTGTTTGGTCCTCGTAGTCCTTACAGTCAGCTGCTTCCAGTGTCCTTCATATGTTTCAGGACTGTACACAGAGTACGATGTTGTCCTGTGTGCAAAATAACAGCGAGATTAAATGCAATGGCGGAAATGTGTGCGATGTCCGAAGACTTGATTCTTTAAGTCTATGAAACCCTAAAAAATAAATACTGCATGTCAATGTAGTTTGGTTTCCCATATCCATTCCTTGCTGTGGAATATCTCGACCATGCGACGATACCTGATGAACTTCTGAAACTCGCTGACCACTCTCTTGGCCTCGGCCGAGACGTGGCGCGTCTCGCCCGGCCCCACCACAGCACAGGAGCCGCCTTTATATTTCCCCAGGCGGAAACCGATGGTCTTATCCTCCCCATCTGCACCCACCGAAATGAGGAACTCACACTTGTTCCTGTAGTCCGTCTGCCAAGATGCAGGTAGAGAAATATGAAACGGGATTAAGGAGATATTAGACACACCGCTGCTTTACAAGGTGTTAAATAGTATGTATTTATAATAGTGTGCCGTAAGAGTTTGTCAGTAAAAATGTGAAATGAGTTAGACCCGACATGTAGACATACCTGTGTAGGAGACGGTCGGATAGCTTCCAGAGAACAACACATTCTGTTGTACTTCCCTTTCTGCGCAAACAGCCACGGCAACATGGCTTTGTTGGTGCTGCCGATCTCTCTGAAAAAGAAACAATAGAGAACATTTGGTCAAATTCACATGTTGATACTGCACAACACCTGCAGCAGATCAGCTGTGGACACACATGGTACCACATGGATGAATCAGACTGTGTATAAAATGACAGCACTCACTTGGCCAGCCTCTGCAGAACCCCCACCACCTCCTGCTCCTTCCTCCTCAGCTGCTCCTCATACGGCACGTTCCACAGAGGAGTCACCACGTTGGCTATCTGGACACTGAGCGGCTCCTCTTCCTCTTCCCCCTCTGCTCGCTTGGATGGGGGCTGCCCTCCCACCAGCTCTCCTTCCTCCTGCCTCCTCTTCCTCAGGATGGGGTCCACTTTGGGTTTGGCCAGCCTGACGCTCAGCACCTGACCCTTCCACTGCATGCCGTGGACCATCTTCATGGCCTTGTCGCGCTCTTCTTCGTTCTTGAAGGTGACGAAGGCGAACGTCTGCTTGCCAAACAGCTTGATTTTGTGCGGGTTGAGGCCGTGTTTGGCCAGGAACTTCTTCAGGTCGTTGAAACCAGTGAACTTGGGGAGATTCTTGATCTCCACTTTGTAGATCTCGGACGTGAAGAGGTCCTCTTTGATGTAGCGGTACATGTCCGGGTCAGAGGCGGCCTCGTTCCCCCCTTCTGCTTTGTCGTCAGACTTTACATCATCGTTGTTGGAGACCTGAGGGAGGTCATCCGGCTTCTCCTCGTGTGAGGCGGGAGTATCAGCCACTGGGCTGCTGCTGACATCTGCCATCACTCTGCTGTGAAAATAACAATCCGGATTAGCAGACTGATACTGATCTTACGTTCAGAACGAATAAATATATGTGAAAACAAGTTTTTAACAGTACCAGACATTAGTTTTTATTTACTTTATTTTTTTACAATCAAACAATAGCTGGACAGATTGTGCTCAAATATCAAGCTTGGTTGAGACATTGTAACTTGTTATAATGGACTCAATAAAATTTACAATCCAAATGTAACGTTGAAGAGGAAAAAAAGGAACGTTTACAACTTAAAACTGCTTTTATGTGAATGCATTAACTGCTTCTGCGGACTTGAGTTTTGGCACTTGCACTGCACAAAGAGGTGTTTTATGTTCGCTTCGGGCTGAGGTGGCAACTAACATACACTGAAGTTGCGTTCTTCCTTGCTTAACGAAAACGATTCGCCATTATCTGTTTTAATAACTAACAGCTTACTGTTTCCAGTCATGCTAAATATCAGCAACGGTCACAGTCGATTGAAGTAGAGACAATGTCTTTCATGTACCTACCTTTTTATATTCAACTTTCACTTCCACTCTCACAGAAGTGTACAGGGCGCTGCCATGTTGATTTAACCACGTGGAGCGGAGAGAACTGTGAACTCATTTAAAGTGGTAGTCGTTTTTTTAAAAAAGGTCCATCTTCTTCAGTGGGAAATGATCGTCTCTCTCGGTACATTACATTTACATGTCCTTGTATACAGTGTGAAATTACTAATTTAAAAAAAAAATGCGTTTAAAGGATTTGTTTACCATTAATTGTTTCAACTTCTTTTTACCTTTTTTATCTATCTCCAAGTGAAAATGTTTTTTTAATAAAACTGTAGACCTACCAAATGCTCCACAACAGCTCATTATAAACTAAAATAACAGAGGTTACAAAATGTAGTTCAGGCCCTTAATTATCAAAACGATACTGTGCTCAAATGTTGCATGTTAGTGAATAAATGTGCAGACGGTGGGAGAAAGAGGGTCAGTAAGGGCTCATAGCTTATTTAATTAACATATTACAAAAATTAGAAGACATTACTTTGTTGCACAACAATGTTTAACTGATATCCTCGCCTTGCTTAATGTATTATGATGATCCAGTCTTTTCTCTCTATGCATAGAATATCCTAAGATTCACCATCTAAAGTTTTACATTTCAATTTATTAAAGCATATAATTTTTGCAGTATATATTTTTAATAAAAACAGCATTTTCTCAAGTGTGATTTCTGATACAGGCAAAGAGACTACAGCGGCGGTGCGCGCGCTTTCACAATGTGGACGCGCGGGCATACGTAGGACATTCGGCGCGCGAAAGCCGTAGCAGGAAGTGAGAGCAGCTGAGGGGGGAAACGGCGGCCAGTCTGGGATTTGAATCTATCTAACTACTTCCATAATCTACAAACATCTAAATTAATATGGCAGACCCGAAGGTGAGGTCGCGCATTTTAGGTCATCCATTGCACTATGTTCGCCTTTGAATCGAAATTTTATGGCAAACCTGGTATTTTATATGTCGAAATGCGTCAAAGTTTTGTAAAGGAAGCTGCGAGCGAGAAATGCCGATAATGATGTATTTCGTGATGCTGTATGGGCTAATTTGACTGTTTTCGAGGCCATATGATGCAATGAAAGTTTAAATCGCAACTAGAAAAGCCCTCTGCTAGATTTTATACTCGTACGCATTTCTTCTGAGTTAATGTTGATGCGCTCAAAAGCCCCCTGAAGTGTGCAGCCAGTCAGCATGTTAACATTAGCATCATATACTGGTCATTAGCTAGCTGCTTAGGGAGGCGATGTGCACACAACTGCTAACAATAACTGTTGCAGTCGTCAGCAATTTGAACGGGGTATTTAACAATCTAACATGTAACCAGCTGGCCAAAGACGATGGTGATCCCTGCGTTGCTCGTCTTTGTCTGCCAAGCACGACAAGTTGCTAACATTTGTTAGCTAACGTTAGCTTTAATAGCAGGGCGCTGGAGCCAGTGACTGCGTATTATCGGGCAGTTGGCAGTAACTATGTTACTGTGAGTGGAGTGTCAGTTAGCCTTCAAACCGTGTCACCTGAATATATTGTCAAATTAACTGTGGTGATGGTCAACGAAACCCACCGTGGTGTGAAATGTGAACCGATCACCGTTAGCTCTCGACTAGCCTGCTAGCGAAAGGCCTCGTTAACTATCGTTAGCAATGAGTTGTCAAAGACAAAGTTGAACAACTATTTACTAACAGTAATGAGTTAAAAATGCAACTGCGAAAAAAACCAAATGTTTTTATATAACCACCATTAAAGCCACTGCCTTCTATCAAATACATTATACTGTTATATCTTTCTATTGTAATGTCACTGGCTTTTGTATAGCTTAAATACCTCCCGCAGCGGATGTAGCTAACGTGCTAACAGCTAGCTAGTGAAGCATAATGGTATAGAAGTAGGGTTTCCACCCCGAGGAAGGAAAGTCCCCCGCGTTTGCTCAGTTTCTTATAAATCCCACTAAACAGTTATTCACAGTGGGTCTTTTCACACTTCTCCACGGGTCATGAACTTGCGCCCTTTGTGTGGATAAGTTAGCCATCTTTAACCTCAGTCGGGTTTTCTTTTGTATGAAGAGCATGTGTTTTTGCCATATTTGTTGTGTATGTTTAGTCTTATGCACATCAACGTGAGAACAGGCAACCCCAAATTGAATTAAAGATGCTGTGCTCAGCAATAGTGATTTACTAAAGGCTCTGCCACTTCCCATACAAAAGCTTTACTTAACCAATGAGCTCTTAAATCCCTCCATTGAAGCATCCATGGCCTGTTGGTCATTTTGTTCCAGTGAATGTTTAAAGAATCACACTGACCTAATCCATATGCCTAGTTTCTTTAACTTACTCTGAATGTCTGACACAAATATGTGGAAGTTTTTTTTGCTTTAAGTTCACGCATTCGTTGCTTTTCCTTCTAGGACCAGGAAGAGCATGACACCACTGCAGAAAATGTAGAAGACTCTAATCATGATCCCCAATTTGAGCCGATCGTGTCCCTTCCTGAGCAGGACGTGAAAACATTAGAGGAGGATGAGCAGGAACTCTTTAAAATGTAAGTTGTTTTAATACACTCGTGACTCCTTTTGTTCCCTCGCATGTTATTTGTATCAAGTGCTGTAATCTGTTATACATTTTGCTGAGCAGCCAGCACATTATATTTATGAAAGCCATATCATATTTTTCCCCAGGCGGGCTAAACTATATCGTTTTGCCTCTGAGAACGACCCACCGGAGTGGAAGGAGAGAGGAACCGGTGACGTCAAGCTGCTGAAACACAAAGAGAAGGGCACAATCCGCCTGCTGATGAGGAGAGACCGAACCTTGAAGATTTGTGCCAATCATCACAGTGAGTTTAGTTGCTATTTTACAGTAGTTTTGGAACAACTGAAATGGTACCAAACTAATCAAAATGTTGAGCTTATACAGTTAGCCGTTAAGCAAAAGCAGTCCAACAATTTCCAGCTGATAGTTGTGCAACCACTTAATATGATGACCTCATATATTCTAAATGCTTTCATCTCTGCCTTCAAAGTGTTTATTTTCCCTCTTGTGAATTACAGTTGTACCTACCATGGAGCTGAAGCCCAATGCTGGCAGTGACAGGGCATGGGTGTGGAACACACTAGCAGATTATGCCGACGAAAGTCCCAAACCTGAACTCCTGGCAATACGCTTTTTAAATGCAGAAAGTAAGTATTTATACATTTTAGTCCAGTGTTACACTTGAAAGTAGTGACAAACGCCTGCAAGAAGCCCATTTTCTGCGTCTAAACTCTGGGCAACAAAGTCCCAGAAGCTATTTTCGAACAGGTCCACCGTTTGGCCAGTGGGGCTGCTTATTAATGCTACATTTGCAATCATACAGCAGCGCCTTGATGTGAATGTTCACCAACTCTGTTCTGTTTACAGATGCTCAAAAGTTCAAGGGGAAGTTTGACGAGTGCAAGGAGGAGGTCAGAAAAACTCTGGAGGGAACAGGTACATGAAACTAACGCCATATTCTTTTTTTTTTTTTTTTTCTTTTTTTTTTTTTAACAAATGTGGTGTTTGTTACACTGCTCTAGTCAGGTTTGAGTGACGTGTATTGAGTACTGTTTTAAATATAATTCCAACAAGGGGAAACGTGTCTTACATGACAAGTTTCATAAGAATGCAGACTCACTCTGTTCTTTGCTGTTCACTCCAGCCTGGAACTTTTGTTGACTGCTACATGACCATGCAGAATGTAACACGTTACTACCTTTCTGAAAGGCTGGTGTCCTTATGTTCTGCTACATTACAATCCAAAATTATCAGGTTGACACAACAGGTATGACTCTTCACTGGCCTCGTAATCCAACTGTCAAGGATTTTACACAAAGTAACACACGGGGAGTGTGATCTGTAAAGACAAATGTACACGCTAAGCAAATTAATTGTGTTCAAACTTTTCACAGCTTTTTCTTTGACTGTGCGTTTCACTGTTTTGCTACAGGCAACACTGATAGCGCAAACAAAGTGGCAGAGAAGCTGGAGGAACTCTCCGTAAAAGACAAGGCGTCGGATGAAAAGAAAGAGGTCAAAAAGGAGACTGAGAAGAAAGAAGATGAGGAAAAGGAGGTGAAGGCTGAGAAGAATTGAGAAACAAGAACTTGCTTTGCTGATTTTCAATTTATCAGTTTTCCTCTTTTTCTACAATAGACTCTAAATGAACTGAATTTGGACACTTGCATATTATTAGTTTTTTATTTTTATTATTTGTTTTGCCTCAAGATCACAAGTCCTTGATGCCACTGAGGGGAAAATACAAGATAGCGAATTTATGAAAAACAAAAAAAAACACGAAGCCGACCCCTTTCCCTCTTTGCACCACACCATGGACTGCACCGCTTTCCATCCTTGTCGTCAACGGTTCAATGTTACATTTAACAAACTGTGAACAGAGGCTTGTGATAGTGATAATTCCCACATTGGGGTATTTTTTTTGTTTTGTTATTCTGAAGCAGAGTTTGTTTGTAGGGGGAGAGGATAATGTAGCCTGCTTGTTAGCAGCACAGAGTCAGGGGACCAGGCATTATGGAGGTGCATTATACGTATAACATCCCATGATGCACCTCAGTGGGCCTTCTTACCCTGTCCACTGTCCACGCTTCCACTGCTAGAAACAAGTACGGTGAAGACTTCAGTGGTTGCCTTGTAGAAGTAGTTCTTTCTTGGTTTCTCCTTTCATTAGTTCTGTTGGGAACTGAATAGAAGAGGAATCCACTCCAGACAGTTGAGTGGCATCAGATGTGTACTGCAGATCGCAGTGTCCACTGACGGCTAACTGATAGGAGATCAGATGCACTTAGAGAAGCATTTCCTTTTTTTTTTTCTTTTTTTTTTTTTTGAATTATCTGAAAACCATGAAGTCCAAAGTCAACGGTTCATCAGAGTTTGGTGCAGCTATGCTCTGACTTAAATCTCTCCTTCTTTAGATCATAACATTCCCAGACTTAAAGCATGTAGAGTATATGTAACAGCGTGTGCCCTATCTGATCTGTGTGCTCACCACCCTCTCCTTTTCCTTTCCACTAATTGAGTTCTTAACCTTGCCTCTAAAGTGCCAGTGCATCTGTAAATACATGTATATGGATGAAATGTTGCTTTTCATTTGCACTCAAATGATTGGAAATGTTTCCTCCACCTTCGAATAAAAGCTGTCAAAGACCATGTTTGCATTCATGTAAAAATCTCTTGTAGCGAATGGTAAAATATGCAGGTATAGATAAAACACGATTATGTTGAGAGTTGTAGGAGTCAAGATAGCGTGGCTGGTTATATGCAAACGACTGCTTTGCATTTTGACTTTTAAAAAGTTAAACTATTAACATCTATGGCATATTAAAGACAGACCTTAATATCAATGTTGTGTCTTGAATTTACAAGAATCAGTCAAAGAGTTGGAAACTTTATTTACTCTGCTTAGATCATTGGGAAATATTTCCTCTTCACAAAAATAGGAACTCGTACATTTATAGTATATTTTAATACATACTGAATTTTCTATACGTTTCAAAAAATAAAATCGGCTCACGGCTGATAAAACAGATTCATTACAGACTGTCAGGAATGGGTCCCTGACCTGCAGTGATGTCCATCCCCAAAAAAAAGATCATTGGACTAATGGCAGTCATCTTAAGGAGGAATGACATCGATAGTGTTTGTATATGTGGTCGCGATAGGGAGGGGGGGGTGTTTTCAGGCAACTTAGCAGCTAACACCATTTCAAGATGTTCCAGTTAGCTGTTACGCTGACAATTACCCATCAGATTTGCCAAAAAAAGTATCCCTGTTATACCACCGCCTTACAACAGAAACAATGTTTAACCATTCAGAAATACATGACTTGAATAGAGTATCCTGTTACTTCACATTACTGTGTTCATGGTAAGGCAGCTGAGTGAGACCATGCCAGCCAGACGGTTGTTACTAAAGCGAGTGTGTCGATAACATCCGACTCTACCACAGCTACTGGCCTTCACACTCAGGAGAAAGGAATCTATGAATGCACCAGAAATGGGAAGAAAAAAGATCCTGTAAAAAGTGATGTCATTTCATAATTGAACAAGATCATTCATTGCCTTGCACGTTAGCCTTTCTTTCAGAACTCTCTTACCCAGTCTTAAGTGTCCCACAAGTGTCACTCCTGCCATTTTCTGCTCCATACAAAACACGAATGTTAATTCATTGTCCCTTATTGTACGATAGTGTTTCACCGAGCCACGTGTCATTGTGTGTGTGAAAGGTAGCTTTTCCTCTTAAAAGGCAACAACGGTTTATCCTTCATGCAAATGTAGCTGGACAAAATCTACCAATTTACATCCATGTATTTTCATATTCAGTTGGTGCAAAATATAAATAAAAACCGTCCACTTGGATATTATCAGTTCATTTTTATGGTCGAAAAGTAATACATGTTCTGTAACTTTTTTTCAATTAACAGCAAAAACAATAAAAAAAAAGAAAAGTCTTGCATCCCTTGAGCGTCGGGTAATACTGAAGCTGTACCAGACAGCTGCTGCAAATTGATTGATTTGATATTTTCAGTCTTCGTGATGTCACTGTGACATAGTAGCAATGTCACCCATCTACCGTCTCTGAGAAATGAAGGGGTGCGTCGTAGCCTTTTTTGGCACTGAAATCTCAAAGGAGCATCTATTGAAAGCCCAATCCTTGACTTGTGTACAGCATTGTGCACACATTGGCAAGTCGTTGACTGTTCACAAGTCAACAACCGACTTAAATATTTCACTTGCTCAAATCACATATCTTGTAATTACATTTCATCATACCATTTCTTTACACTGCAAGGGAAAACAAGCTATATTTACTTTATGGATTTCTACCCATTATAATGACCTCATTTATTAACTGAATTTATAATTTAGCAACAAAAAAACTCCACTCAAAATAAGACATCCATTCCAGGCTTAATTAACTATAAAAAAAATGTATCAAACATAGCTTTTGAAAGGCTGGCTATATAAAAAGGAAAAAAAACATTTAAAAAAAAAAATACAAAATAATAAATGGGTGACCAGTTATCTTCATTTTACTACATGGGACAATGGCTTGTATCTCTACACCTTTCTATTCCTATGAGTAGAACACAAACAACTTACACACTAAACAAGTTATCTTCTTTTTTTTGACACAACACAAACAGAAAGTTTTGGTTGTGCAAGGCTGGACTCCTCCTGAACTCTTGGGATGAGGTATTCAAATCTTTCAGGACGCCAATATATCTTCCCAGCACTTGCGTCATGTTGAAATCCTCGAACTGAACGTCACTAAAACAAACAGGCCTATGATGATGATGCACTGCACCTTTGTGAAGTGTATAAAGGGGGCTAAGCTATATTCAAGCCCTACTAATCTGAGACAAAGAAGGGGCCATTCAAAGCCTGTGAATTAATATCAACTAGCATCTCTGCTGGTTGCATTCATTCCTGAGAAATTTGTTTTTGATAAAGAAGGAATTCCATTTTTGTTTTTTATCTTACTTTTAATCAACACGCCTTTCTCAATGAATTTGGAACGCGACCACCAGACCTGATACGATGACTTCCCTCTCTCGATGTCCCCTTCCCCTGCTTCTCAACTCTTTTATCTCGTGTTGCCTGCAAATGCAGTTGGTGCTGATCTAACGGATCGGTCCTCCATCACTTCTCAAAGCTACGCTGGAGATGCCATGAACAGTACAAGTTAATGTGAAGCACCGTGACTTCTTGAGGTCAAATGACTTGGAAAGGACTTTAGTCTTTTCACAAAAGTCCATAGTGAGGATTGTCAGTGTTTAATTCATCTGTGGTGTTTTTGTTCAGCCTTCAGTGCTTTCTAGAGAAAAGTTTGTGTGACATTTGGAACAACTAAACGCTTCATGACCACAGCTGAGAGACAAAAGTAATACCATTAACGTTCCTCTCTTACGACCAAGATGATGAGCCACAAAATGTTAACGACAAGACACTCCTCACACATACAGCCGGCAGCGGTATCAACTGACAAACAACCCCTCTGGTACGAACATACACAGGCATTTGGCTAGACGGACCCACACAAGGGCAGACAGGTCCTCTGATTGGACAATAAGTCCAAAACAGGGAGCGCTATGTGCCCCTGACTCTTGACTAAAATAACAGGAGAGCATCTCTTTGCAGGAGGGTGGTTGTTGTCATTGGAGGTCCATGCAGTGTCCCTGCTCACACTGATATCTCATACGTGGTGCCTCCTACACCCGTCACCTTTTTGACGTTACTGTGGCGGCTGGGGCTGATGGTGGAACCCTTGGCACTGGGGTGGCAGTCCATCTGCCCGTTAACTTTCATGGCCTCTCTGAGTGAAAAGAGAAGAACAACGGTAAGTATTCACCCCAAAGAGGCGAAGGCATAAAACACAAACCAAAGAATAAAGGTTGGTGGCAACATGCAGAGCTGTTGTCTGGACAGTTTCAAACCACCAAACCAAAATAGCAACATGGATGATTGGTTCAAAGTGTACTTGTTAGTGAGGCAGAAGGCGTTGGAAATGTTAGACGAGTAGGAGAAAAGCATGCAAAAGAAAAAGAAATGAGAGGAATTACACAACTTTATTAATTTGTAAAATAATACAAAAATGGATATTTTACTAGAAAGGCAAACATTAATTAGAACAGAAAATAGGAATTCACACCAGACTGTTACTTAACATGAATAAATGGACATTACAGTTGAACAAATACATACACTTTTTATAAATGCTATACGTTGCCTAAGTAAGCGCGAGTATACTAGTGCCCGTGTACTGCCGGCTGTGTCCAGCAGAAGGAGCAGGATTTCCAGTGGGAATACATTCAATGCCCACCAGTCCCCCCTTTTTGCTCAGTACAATGCATGCAGTCCCACAGGTGTAACGTTAGGGTTCATACCTTGGGCCCCCCAGGCGAGCTGAGTCTGTCCTCTCATGGGCACTGATGTAGGAGAGTTTCTGGTGGGAGTAGGAGGGGGATCGGGGCATAGCAGGGGAGTGGGGCTGGTGGGCCGGGGAACGATAAAGGCCCTCAGGGCAAGCGGCCCTGCTCTGGCTGCTGTTGCTGCTAATGTGATCTGTGTGCAGGGAGGTGGTCGAAGTCCTAGGGGCACGACCCAGCATGGAGCCGGCATGGCGCAAAACGGGGGTTCGTTGCCCATAGCTCACCAGGCCGACCCCCATCAGGTTGTCCCTGGAGCCTCCATAAGCTGGGGGTGTTGGGCCTCTAGAGCCAGGGCCACGAGGCCCATCTGAGTAGCAAGCATTGGGGGGTAGGCCATAGCCCCCATCAAACACAACAGAGTCCTGGGCATAGATATGGGTCTGGGAGCGCCCATGCAGTATCTGCCGTTTTTCCCTCTCCTCCATCTCCTTTCGTTCCTGGATGGAGGCCATGATGGTCTGGGAGAGGTTGTCATAGCGCACCGGGGATGGGTCCCTTTCCCTTAGGTGAGGGGATTGCCTGCCCACCCCCCTGGGTGGCATCACTGGACTGTAGGCGGGGGTGACCTGGTGCCTCTGCATGTCAGGTTCCCGGATGTGGCACATTTTGGTGGGCAGGTAGGGCGAGTGGAACCCCACGGTGGGCATACCACGATGGGCCATGCACTCACTGGCAGTGGCTGGGGAGATGCTGGGGTTAAGCAGGCTGTCATAAGACAAGCTGCCGTTACGGTTGGAGAGCGTGTTGGGCGAAAAGACGCTCTTGTACGGCGTGGAGGTGACTGTCTGCGGCTGCAGGGCAGAGAGCTGGCCCTTCTCTGGCCGACGGTGGCCCTGCTTCAGGCTGAGAGAGTGGGAGTTGATGGGGTCACCGTCCAGCTGGAGGGGAGATGACTGGAAGGTGCGGTGGAGAGGAGTATTGGTGTACTCAGGCAGGTCCAGGTTTGGCTCAGATCGGTAGTCATGACCACGGACACCCTCTTCCAAGATGGCTGATGTCTTCCGGTCATCTTGCATGACAATCTGAGTAGCAAACAGCAGAAAAACACGTCAAATCAAATATGATTGAAGTCATTGTACTTAACTGCTACTGAGGCTTTTGCCACAGGATATAAACCCCAGGCTATATGGTAGAGCTAATTATCATAGTAACATAATAACTATACTATATTAAGAATATACATCTTACATAAGTGCCAAACAAATCATGCCTTACCTTCTCTCCAGCAGTGTGGTAGTGGACTTTAGGCATGGTGCCAAAGGACGGCCTGAATTTGTACATGACTGGAGTGGAAGGGTGGGTCTTTCCAGAAAGAGAACTATCTACAACACACACAGAGGAAGAAGACCAGAGTTAACACTGTGCAGGTAATAGAAATTCCTCTATTATACAGCACTGATTGAAAGTCAGTTCTGGGAGAAAAGACAAGACCTGAGCTGAATTCTATCATCACAGTAGAGAAGGCTGTAGGTAATGATTTTTTGAACCACACACCATCACCAAAAATGAAAATTAATTGGAGTGGCATGGTAGTCTGTCAAAGTCTGTACCGGTTCCTCTAGTTTGCCTTTAAAAAGGGAGGCGAGCCATTTAGACAGGCTGCAGTACTTTGAAGTACCACCAGGCAGTGATAGTGCTCCATTGAAGAGCAGAAAGCGTTCCCTCCCTGATTTAATGCGCCAGGGCACTGGAGATCCTCTGGAGGGAACCTGCTGTTGTAGGTTCACACTATATTTTATTGACTATGGAATGCAACAGTACAGAGAAGACGTTACCGCTGGTTAAGGCTCTTAGCTGTTAAACCACCACCACAACGGAATATGTCACAGTTCCTAACTCACACAGATGACTTCTAAAAAAAGTCAGTCATTGTTTTGTTTCTGATTCTCAAGCATATTCCTCTCCCATCCCTCCATGTGGCTTCACTGCTACACGCCACCAGGATAGAATCATGGTGCAATAATTCACTCTGAACTCTCTACTCTGGTGCTGATTCAGTGAGCAGGACTCGCCTCCTTATTACAAATCACACCTATTCTCCGGCCCGGCATTAAAAAGGCAATTGATCTGCCACTGAGACGGACATTTATCACGCTACACTAGTGGTCACACAAGTCACACACTGGGATGCTGGTGATGCACAGAGGCAGTTTGGGGAATTGCTGCTTGGCAACAAAGATAAATGGGATTGATGATGACTGACAGGAGAGGGGGAGAGTTGTTGCTGGACAGAGGGACACTTTGTTCCTGCGTTTTCTTACCTTCGCTGGACGTCAGCTGACTCTTCAGCTGGTTGTACCTGTCGACTTTGGGTGGCAGCAGCGGCGGCTGGGTTTCTTTCTCGTCAAGGCCGTCCAGGCTACTTTTGGACTGCAGGGAGGAGAGCAGGGTGTGATAACATCCAGGACGGGTGGGGGAACAGCAGATGAAATAGAGAAGAGCATATGTTAGAGGTAGGGATGCACCAACCGACTCTCACAGACGGCTGTAGGGTAGCAAAGCTGCACCTAGCAGCTGCTCTGCTCGAGCTAAATCATTTTTTGTTGTGGCTAATGGAGTGAAAATGGTGAAAAAACGTCAGTGTTAGATTAACATTTTACATTAACAACATAAAAGAACATTTATTTGTTAAAAAAAAAAAAAAAAAAAAAGAGTAGCCAACTTTTTTTTTAGCATTACACAAAGTTTAAAATCAATATTGATGCAGAACAAAAACAAGAGATTATCCACAATGCAACTGTGCCAACAGCTGATCCAGTAATTCGGGTGTGTTATGCTAGTAGCAGCTAATGTGGCCTCAAGCAGGGATGAGGAGCGGGCTACAGGCGTCTGGTTAACTCACTTCTTTCTAACGCCACACCCTCAGATTGGTCTTTAGCCCCAACTGATGCTGACTCTAGTGACATCATTTGAGGCAATTTATCAGGCTTCATGCAGCTCTCTCTGGAGCCACAGCTGTTTTTACACATGTAGTAGTAGCTACTCCCAGAGACCTGTCAACACACTTTGATGTGTTGAATTGTTGGAGCTCCTAAAGTTAACTTCAGTAAAAGTTTGCGGAAAAGTTGTCAATGACCAAACCTGAACATCAGAAATGAATTAAATCTGTAGGGTTACTCTAAAAGAGAATAGGGACGCTTTTCTTCACTGGAGCCCCTCTTTGTCCTTTAAGATGACATGAGTGCATTTTAAATAGGTACAAACAAAATATGCTTAAAGGACAAACATTTTCCCACTCTGCAAGGTGATTTTCATAGTAGATGGCATGAATTGAAACCACTGTCTCTGGTCTTTTTGTAGATATGTTTGCTTTTAAAATCACCCTCACAGACACAGTACATCCCTTTGGGGTGAAAAATAGTCAAATTAATTTTTCAGAAATCTGTTGACTCCCTTCGCTTTGATGTGAAGTTTTAGAAATGAGGAAATCCCCTAATATATGTGACTCTAGTGAGCTACTGTATCCTTGTATATGCTGCCCTCAGTATGAAAAAGTAGGTCAGTTGGATGATGGAGCAACAGGGAAATAACAAGAAAAAAAAGCTCCGTAGCAGTTGAGAAGAACTCACCTTGGAGCTGGTGATGGTGCTGTGGATGCCGTTGTCGCTGAGCTTGATGGTGATTTGCCTCTCTGACAGGTCAGGTCTGATGAATGGGGGCTGAATTCTGACATGGGGCTTTTTCCTGGGGTCCATCATGTACCTGCATAGAAAAAGAGCAACAGGCTCTCTCTCAGAACAAACAGATTCTTTATAGTCACAGTACTTTCCCGAATTTATAATTGTCAGTATATTCCTGGCAGTCAGAGTTGCCATTCCATCTGCAATCTTTAGTGATACTGAGCCTCACTGAATGCAACCAAGATGACAAGTATGCAACTCTGTAACACAGCCAAAACAGCACACAGTGTACTATTAAAGTTATTCACATCAAAGTGTGCACCCAGGGGGGCACTAGTTTTGTCTTCAGTAGAGAAATATTTGCTGCAAACTGAATTCATTTTTCAGGAATTGCTTCTTATTCTAGTCTCATCGCTCCCTAAATCTTTGGAATTGAATCTTTATTGCTACATGAGAAATACTCTGTGGTTCATGTATCTCATGATCACACACAATAACTTGTAAACATGTTATACAGATATTTAACCAGATGTATGCATTGAATATGCAAGTACACCTTTGAAAAAATATGGAAATATAACAAAAAAGGCTAATATTCCTCATTTTATTTCAGTACCCCTCTTCTACACTGCACCTTATACTCTACTATCAACCCATATTCAGTGCGGAGTACAATAATGAAATTAGTCAAGCACTTTGTTTAATCCCTATTGGCTAGTGAGACAGTTTAAAAAAACATTTCAAACACAACTTCCTGACAGAAAAACAGCATTTAAATGAATCATATAGGGTTGTTTGTTAATAATTAAAGGGGCTGTCAGTGTAATTGCTTTAATATTTAATGGCGTGGAGGCTTGGGTGTGGTATATTATCCAAGCAGTCTTTATACATTTTTAGTAATCGACCCCTACATTAAAAAAAACATGCCACTAAATGAATGTGACTGGTTTAAAAATACTTTATTGTTTTTATTGTTGGTGTTTTTTTCTGTATCAGTCAGGTCCAACATGTTTTGAGTCAATGGTTTAGTAAATCAGAATTCATCCATCAGGGTCTCTGCAACAACTTAACAGCAGACGCTTGTAACACAGCATTTCACCCCCACCTGATGTCTCTCTGCAGTCACACTGTTGATTCTGATGGCATCGAACTTCATAGATTGTAAAACTGGTGGTTAGGCTTTTTAGCGATTGTGTGTGTGTGTATGTGTGTGTGTGTGTGTGTGTGTGTGTGTATGTGTAAAAAACAGGTTGACTAGTTCTGCGCTCTGTTTCCCATTAACTGTTTTACAGAGTGATTCAATTCTCACAGCCATCTGCCTTCCCCCTGGGTTGCTGGCAGCTTTCAGGCAGAACTGTACACACCTCCGCAACCACCTTCAGAGCATGTGCATGCACTCACACACACACACACACACACACACACACACAATGGTGCCGCCTGTGTTATTCTTGCAGGTACATGGTTCTGCATTGGTGCTATGGCATGGATGTCCCAGGCTTTAATGGGCCACAATCCTTCTGTTTGCATAACCATACACAAACATATTGTCTCAAGTGCAGGAATACAGCACATTTCATTAAACATGAGTTAAATGTGTGCTGACAGAAAGAAAACCCTGAAAAGCATCTACTGTGTACAAACACACACACACACACACACACACACACACACACACACACACACATACAGCATAATAAAGCATCTTACCTTGGTGCCAGGGGACTACACAAGACGTACTCCACGTTGCCACAGCAACCCTTGGTGAAGGGATTTACTCCTCCACGAAACTTGCCCGTCACCTGAGGAAAACAACGCATTGTTAAGAGTCGGTAGCGAAGGAAGGCCACAGTGCACACACATGGACGTACACACATAAACACACAGAGGTCCAGTGCTTGAATACAAAAGAGGGGATTAATTATGTGATGGTTGGGAATTAATTCTGTCCACACTTAGCGGACTGTATTATTCACCTGGCCAGAGGTTTGCTTGTCGAGATTCTCCAGCTATTTCAAAAGGTTCCCTAATGCTAGCACGGTTGCCAAAAGTCACACAGCTCCAGGTGTGAATGTTTGAGTCAGTGTGAAGCAGAGCGGCACAGCTCTGTTGACTTTCGCTGGATAAATAACAGGCTAAATCGGTTGTGTACGTGTGTGTGTGTGTGTGTGTGTGTGTGTGTGTGTGTACGTCCAGAACAAGCCAAAGGCAGCTCCTACACTCACCTGTTCGTTGGTCGTTCGACCTCGAGCAACGAGCACCATATGGAAACCTGTGAGTCCCATGACTGGAATAAAGAAAAGCCCGGCTATACACATCACCACCAGACTGGACACAAAGGTCAAGCTCAACAACAACAATAAGGGATTACAAGAACACAAACACATGTACTGTAAGAATAACTTCATTGACTCCTTTAGACAGAGGAACCGACTACCAACCTTTTCCCACTCGGGAAACATTATTCTAAAAATAACTAAATCAACAACCAACCAAATCGTCCATTAAAAAAAGAAGCAGGCTTTGCAGTCAAGCAGTGAAAGGATACGTGACAGTGGTGTGCAGTGCTGCCAGTCTCTCGCGGTGGTGGAGAACGAAGATGAGGCCGAAGGAGAAAACCCCCACCATATGGATGCTCAACGACAGCAGGAAGAGGAAGAAGTAGCGGTAGTTCCTCCGTCCAATGCAGTTGTTCACCCAGGGACAGTGGTGGTCGAAGTCCTGAGGAGGAAGAGAGGGAGCAAGTTACACTTCTGAAATCTATGTAATTTATTCATAAGGAAATCAATGATATGACCTCCAGCTAGTCTGGGTTGGCGCTTTAAATTCAGGTTAAAATCAGGTTTATGAATTTTGACCTATTATCACTGGGAGGGACGAGTTTAAATCTCTTGACTATTATTAAGGCAAAACAAGTGAAGGAACAAAATGATGTTGGTTGCAATAATAAAATATTCAATCCATAATCAACCTTAAACTCCAATAAATATCCAATACCACTTTTGTTCTTTCTACTTTCATCAGTTGATGTGTAAATGATAATCTACACCCTCATTAAATTATTTATTAGGCTTACACAAACACTCACAAATACAACTCTCAGCTTTTTTGAAAGGAAACAGGGTGCAGGAATACAGCCTGTGTAATTATGCATCCTGTGTGTAGGTGTGTGTTTATGTCCTGAGGTGTGTTTGTGTGTAGGTGTATTTGTAAGACCAAAATGAGGATTTGAAAGCTATTACTGATACCAGTATTTTACGCTTGAAACTGCCAAACGCTGAAATTCATGCCAGTAATTATGTTTTTTAATGAGGACAACTAAATAAAACACAGATATTTACAAATTATTTATATATTTCGAATATAAATTCTCAGCAGGAGAGAAAAAAAGTCTAAACATATGTACTATGTACGAGCAAACTGCATCTTATATCACATCAAACAAGCCCAATGTCAATAGAACAGCATCAGATTGTTGATTAAAAGCTGATACATCAGTCTAACCTTGATGCATATTTAGATTTCAGTGCCTGCATGTATACTTAACACACTGTTTGTATTCACACACCCACACAACACACACACACACACACACATACACACCTCCACACAGTTGTCGCAGACGCTGCAGTGCGAGCAGCGAGGCGGCCTGTAGAAGTGACAGGTGGCGCACCACTTCATCCGGACCTGGATGCCCTTGATCTCCACATTCTTGTAGAGCGGTGCTCGGAAATCATCGTCCTTGTCCTCGTCCTCGTCGGCTGTGGGGAAACATACAGATACACACACACACACACACACACATTAACAGAGCACAGATGCATATGGTGGCATGTGAGAAAAACTGTCACAAACACAGTTTTGATTTAAGATTACATTTGACAGGAACAACAGGAGAGCACCTTAAATGAAGCTCTCCCCCGCTGTAATCTGTCTGCACGGACAGCAAACAGAGAACATTTTTTACATTTTTTTATTAAGGGAATTAAACCTCTAACCCTGACAGAGACCCTTAATCTGTCTGACCTGACATGTAACTGAACCCATAACCTGTAAACTACAGTATGAGAGTACAACTGACATTTCCACTGCACTCAGTGCGACATTGCAGTCAATCAAACTGTTTGTACATTATGCTGCTTTCCTACGACTGAGAGCTTTTTGCTGTGGAGCCGCAGTGGAAAATAAAATGTCTTTCAGCTGATTAAAGGGCACTTTCAAACGATCTACACGGAGCTCCAACCAGAGAAAATAATTTCACAGTACAATAATAACTGCAGGGAGATCCAGGTAGCTGAAAACACACACACACGCACACACACACACACACACACACACACACACACACACACACACACAC